AGACCACTGAGCCGACATCCAATGGTGTTAATGTCTAACTTCAACCAACCCACGAAGTTGCGCCACCATATGCCATTGTCTTCAGTGAACTGATATCTCATAACAGACCTGGTTGGACTCCACTGGTAACGGCTTCTCACTAGAACTCCAGGAGTATCTCTTGAGGTCAGTCCCTAGTGAGCAGATGATTATTATCAGAAGGGGTTTGTGAAGATCTTATAAATTTCACAGATTGAAGTCATGTGTGCGGGATCGTGGATGCGCACTGCCGAGGAGTCCCATACTAGGACGAAATGGCCGTCCAGTGCTTTCAGGTTTTTTTGGTGGTCTAGCTTAAATTTACTCATGATTTCAATCTGCATAATTAAAAGAGACAGATTATAAATAAATTAATTTCTAAATGAACATGTTTCGTTTTCTAATGTTGTATATTAGTTGAAAAAGACTAACTGATTCAGTCAAGTTTAATTTCATTAAGATTTCAATTTCATGTCCATGATTCTTTTGTAGATAATAGATTTGATCTGTTTCAATGTTGAAGAACTATTCCACTTGAATGATATTACATATATATATAATCAGTTGATGAGGTTGTGAATCTTCATCGAGTGAAATGGTTGGGCCACGTGTTACGTATGCCTGAACGCCGATTATCACAACGTGCAATGCTAACTAGTGTTGTAGATAGTTGAAAGAAATTTAGGGGCGACCAAACCAAAACGTGGCATCAGTGTTTGAAGTCTCTAATTTCTAGTCTGAGCCATGTTGGTCGTGACTATCATAACCAATGGTTGGAGACTCTTAGTGAGATTAAAATCGCTTCATATCTTTCTACGTACTATATCTTTATATGCAAACTTTATATATATTACCATCATTGAATTAACTGCTTCTATAAATCCGGTGTTCATCTTGTTGTTCTAATGCGGTATGGTAATCTAGACCGATGTATATATGTGCCTGGATCTACGTTGTAGCTGACTGACTGACTATAAAAATCAATAATTTTTTTTTTCTACTTAATATCTATAATCTTTTAATTCAAAAGTGTTTACCTCTATTGATTTACTCACTTCTCATATATTATTATTATTTTATTTCAACTAAATAAAATGAAAATATGAAAAATTTGTATTGTTATTAATCCATAGTTAGATGTTCTTTCTAAAATAAGATATTTTACTCAATATCTTACTAATATTGTGAATAATCATTATGGATATTTGGAAGGTATTAGTTAAATATATGTATTTGCATACATTTATTATATTAGTTCCGAATAATGATATATTATAGGTATTTTTATATGTAATATACAGGTCAGTAAACAAATTTCTAGCCTAACTTCTTTATTCTTTTTTTTTTGGTTTTATTTCTTCTGTTTTTTTTTGTAACCAAAGGACAAATATGTCAAGGTTATATGAAGCATTATTTTGTTTTTGCGTTATAGAAGTATGCTCATTGATGCCACATGGTTTACAAAAGCAGAACATTATTATGTCTAAAAACTAAATTTGTACATAATCATATATATGTCTCCTAAAGTTAAAAAATATATATTGAATATATTTATTAATTTATATGACTGTTGTGTATATTATTTGATAGATGCCATTAAAGATGATTATAAATGTTAGGTGACTGAAGGTAGCTGAAAGGAAAACGCAAGCTTAGGTTTCATGCTAGTTGGTGCTTAACAACATGCTCTACCTATAATATTGAGTGAACTTAGTCGTCCACCTCCATAGTCTGAGACTCTACTACTAAGTTATTTGCGTCCGTGTCCCTCTAGATTACAGTTACATTTTCTAGTGCTTACTAGCATGAAACTTAAGTTCAGAATTTCTTGTACGCGACCATTTGACACCTAAATACAGTGTATGTGATGTCAAATTACTTAAATTAATGAGCAAATTACAACTTGATCAATATAATTCGTTTAATTCTTAAAAGATCAGTCAAACATGACACTGTTTTACATTCGATATATCTGAAAATTTTTTCTAGTTCACCCATAATGCAGTTCTGGCTAAATGTATTGTTATTTTGTGTGCAGCTGATCTATCGTTTAATTCGCTATTGAGATTGTGATACCTGTGTTTAATAATGACAAACTGTGATAAGGATTTTCCGATATGGTTATCGAAGTGTATACCATCAATCACTACTCATTTATACTAAATTATGAAACAAGTGAATAACAGGATATATTTATTAAACATTCACCAACTAAAATATTCATTCAAAATAAATGGAATATGACTAGGAGTGATATCCAGAACGCGCATTTCGTCACATCTGGGACCCTTCATCTGAATATGCCTAGGTATAAATTAATATTCACCCCGATATTCAAACCCTGCACCTTTGACTTCAAATATCTAACGCGTTATCCACTTAGCTAATGAGTGTCACATATGAAAATTGATATATTGAAACAATCTGCACAATATTCACATATGCTGATTAAAACTGATCAAAATTTAGTCAAAAAAATTTAGAGGATAATCCAAAACTACTATAAATTAAAGTTATTCAAAATTTGATACGACAGGGAACATTATTATGCGTTAAATATGCTGAGCTTTATGGTCTAAGCTTAAAGGTTTACCATCCTTCTTAGAGAAAAACATTAGGAATATAAACTTCCGATTCAGTGAGTGTAACTCCACCAAAATCGTCCTACGAAGGTATAAATCTTTCCGATCACCCCACGATCTATTTTCAATCCACATTGAACTATTTTGCGTGAGCTTATTGAATTTCAAGTTGCAACGGGACTTCAGTAGCCTGATATCTCCTATCGGATCACGTGACTATCGTTATCGGTTTAGATGTATAACCAATCCTTGCACATAAATATCAACTTAAATCGCGTTTGTGAATAACGCAATAAGTCAAACACGTGAATGGATTTTTAATACATATAATATTTTATACAATCGTTGATCCAGAAAAACGATCAAAGAAACGAAGCAAAACAAAATGATGCGCGGTGAAGAAGTTATGTGAACCAACTCGCTTTAATGAAGTCTTAATCGATATTTATAATCAAACGAAAACAAGTTACAAATATGTGATGAATAGGATAAGCAATGCACACACATACGGCATACATAAAAACATTCAAAGTTGATAAGCGAATACTTAACAAGGTCAAAACGTGACTTTAGAACAATAAATGAGTTGGCCTGTCCAAAAGCTATAATAAGCCATATGGGCTAGCATATCAGTATAGCATATTGTAAAAAAATCCCATCATATATTTACTATTAAATAATTAAATCTGTTTTGTGTTTACATTTAAGTGCTTACAACATTTTGAAACTTCGCTTCATTTTCATTTATAATCTTTATATAATGGGATATGTTATTCACCATAAGGAAATCCTATTTATATACTGGTTGGTTATGTCATTCAATTGGAGACATTAGTACTAATTCATTTGAATCGTGACAAAGTTGACAAACAGAAAAGAATGAATAAACTTGACATCGAATGTTGATTATTAACAAATTAATGTAAATGAAAAATTCTATTTACACAATTTATAAATGTATATTAAATTAATTTTCTGTTTCATTAACATTAACATTAGAAATTGATCTATTAACTTACTATCTAAGTTTCATTGTTTAAAGTTGAATTAAAAATAATATCTTAAAAAAATTCTACAATCTACCAAAAAGTGTACAATTTTAAAATTAGTTGCGGGTAAACTACAACTAATGTTCTCCACACGACCAATAATCTCTACGAGGTTGAAAGATAAATTACCTAGAATAGCCACCTCCTTCTGTATTTATCAACTCAACTGCTCCTATGGAGTAAGTTATATTGGCAGATGTTCTAGGAATTTGTACATTCGAGCTCGTGAGCACCTCCCCGTGTGGTTAAGTAAAGGTGCAGTCAAAACTGTTAACAGCTCCATCTTACACCATCTAGTTCAAATAGGACATACAGCCAACATAGAGCAATCTTTTGCAATAATCTATCGTGTTAACAGGAGTCTACCTAATTCTGTCAGACTGCGAATCCTACAGACGGCTGGAGCAATTGCTATTCGGATCAAAATGTCAGAGCTTTACATCCAGAGAAGTATGTTCAGCCACTCCTTTTACCCTGGCCAACTTTGTGGTCGACTAGTTAATAAATAATTTTATAATATGGTGACGTAATCTTATTAATCTTCATTTTATGTCCCATACTTATTATTATTATTATCTTTATACTTGATAACCTCTTGAGGAATTTATTCAATATCCATCCCTAAATCTACTATATCTGACCTCATTCATTCTACATATTATGTAATTTCCGATTTTTATTCCATTAGTTTCTCTCTCACCCCATGTTGACAATATTTATTCTGATCATTTATCTCACAATTTCATTTCACTTATAAACTGATTCAAGTGAACACTTTATATTATTCAATCCCAACATTAACGATCTGATTTGATTTTATATGACAAACAACAATTCTCAATTTATATATTACAATTTCCAAATGATGATGTACTGTGTCTTAAATCTGGCCAATTTTATGGATTATTAATTTGGATATGAGAGAATTGTAGAACCTGATGAGAAATTCATTGAAAAGAATATTCTTCATTCATATAAATTGTGTTTTAATTTTAAAATTAGTTGTTTAGTGATTTGTGTAAAATAAAACATAACTGAATTGATGTCTCTATGTGATAATTCAGTAATTTAATTAATAAGTAATCTGTCATTTGTTCAATTAATAAAACATTGCTCAGTATTATAAACATCAAATACAGTCAACAAAGTACAGTTTATAAGGTATTTAAATGTTACCGTTTATATCATTGTTGAAGCTTATGAAGTAAAATTTAACTGATCAGCGCATACACATTTACATTAGTTGGATAACATTAGTTAATTGAATTTCATTTGTTTCCTTATCTTTTATCAATGCTCTTAATCCTATTTCCTTTTCTGTTGTTGTTGTTGTTTCCTTCTTACTTTCCAGGTTTCAAGGAGTACAGGTGTCGATTTTAAACAATTAAGATTTTGGAGTGCTTTTTATTGTTCTATATTTGGTTTCATATTTGTCGGTTGTAATATGTCTGGGATAGCCAAACATATAAGAAGATCAGTAGAAGAAGTATATAATTCATTTATTGGATTTTTCTTTTTACTTAAAGCATTATTTACAATGTTTTTAGTAAGTGGTTTGATACAAGTTTGATTCTTTGTTTTTCATTTTTATTTTGTAATTATTTCAAATGATTGTTAATTGATGTAGAAATAGTCTACATTTTATACAGGCTAGTAATTTTTTTCTAGTATAGAATCCTTCAGAATAGCTTAGGCACGATCCCGTATGAAAAGGAGCTCAGGACCTTAAAGCTTCGCTGAATGACTTTCACCCTAGGATCATTATGCTAGAATACAATGGCATTTATATCCTTGTTACACCAATAATACTGTATACTTTGGTCCTCATTTTATTAGTCGACTGGTATAAATATATTTGCAGAACGTCTGATAGCCTGCCAAACAGAACAATACAAATGTGTAATGGACGAGAACACAAGCGGGGACAATCGAATGTATTTAAATACGAAATTACAGGATATCTTAGTAAAATCTGAGAACCATACAGTAAATACTCAATTTACAAAATGTCAATCAATCATCTCATACTTCACAGTTCCTTCATTTCCATAACAATCATTCTCTGTTCTCGTTCTCTCTACTTCGATCTTCTTAACCTTTTACTATCAGGTATTTCACTTTCGATTTATGATGCATACTACTTATATCTGTCGACATCAGTAGCACACACAACAAATGTACTCCATTAAAATAGCATGTTCTTCTCAAATCTTTGTTTTCCGGTTGTATAATGATCAATTGATGTTAAACACAGAATGCGGCATAACAGTATATAAATCATATCACCAATTCAACTAGTGTAAGCTATCATTTATCTGTAAACCAACACCGTATAAAGTGTTTTCTATAAAACAAACTTCTATGAGTTATTTTATACTATTTCAATTAAGTGATACAAAAAATGATAGGAACATTTTGTATTAACTACATTCATTTTAAAATATATGTTTGGACGACAACTAGTTTGATACTGTTTCCCATTATTCTATTTGAAATGTTCTAAAGATTATTGATCATTTTAAATGTTTTAACTTCATTTAACTTCACGTAATTTTTTTTGCTCAAAGACCACACATTATTAAAAACACAGCTAATTTTAAAAGAGACATTTCACCAATTTTAGGAAACAGTTGCCTTTATAATAAAGAAGAATTTATCCTTTTGACTTGTTTAATACTTTGATATGAAACAAAAGGTAATATCTCTCGATAGCAAAACGAAAGTTTTGTTAATTGCTAACAATTGTATGATCAGGGTGACAGTTTAATTGAAAGTTGTATATATTAATGGTCGTTTAGCCTCCCATGGGACTGGTAACATAAGTTTTACAATATTTTTGCGATGGTCTCAACCTACATATTTAAAGCGGTCATCTTACGACTAGCACTTCTTCATAGAGATAAAATCTATGGGGCTTTTAAGGGAGCTATGATCGCTGGAATGATTAGTTTAGCTGTCTTACTAAACAAAATCATCAACATAAACTTTCTGTAAATGTGTCAGGAAATTCTTATTGCTCACTTATATCTGAACTTTTTACTACTGATGATTTTGTCAAGAAAGACAATTGGAGCTTCAGAATTGAAGCATCTGACCCAAAGAATTCAACCCAACAAAAATCATCATTCTGAACAACAAATCTCCACTACCTCGAAATTTATACTGTTTCATTAACAAGAATTTACATTTTTCTAGTGAATATAATTGGGTTCAAACAATGCGTCTTCATTATATCGGTCAACTTACTAACCGAGTAGAATTACATTCAACTGACAAAGAAATTAATAGACAGTTAACTATCACTGGTTCCCTTATACTTTTCTTTGTGTGATCGAACTCTTGGACAATATTAATGTAGGTCTATAGATTACAGTTATAACAGTGTATTTGATACTGTTATACCGTTGTTAATAAATTCAGTTTGCATACAACTGAATATTACAATGAAAATAAGTAATATGAAATTAATTTATATATGATATATATGGTATGTCTGGTCAACAATAGCAACTTGAGATCAGGAAAGAACATAGTATACAGACTGATTTTCGTATTGGTTGTTTGAAATTAATTGGCATATGTGTATACAGTGAGGACTTTTTCGATACTATTACGTTAAATCACAAGTATTATAAGTAAAGATAGATGGTGGCTAGCTGTGGCATCCAGGAAGTGTGTTTTGTGCATTCCTCAAAGGATGCACGTATGCCAATAAGAGACTGACCAATTAAGGTCCTGAACGTCAATGAGAAGATTCAAGCAGCTAATACAAAAATGAATTAAACTCCACCCGAATGCACAAACTATTGGCTACCTGGACTCAGTAGCTCAGCTAATAAGGCAATGGCATTTGAAGTGGATGGTACTGATTTTGAGTCCGGGAGTGAACATCGACTTTGATATGGAGGTAAATTCAGCCGATAAGTCATCCAGTAATCGTCATATATCTCTGCTGATGGTATACAGATATTTTAATCTCCAATACTTTACATGACGCAATACATATTTCTGCTAGATTCTAGTTGTATCTACAATAAATGTTGTGTAAGTTACCATTGAGAGTAAATCGCTAACCTAGTAAAGGCAAGCTTGCATGTCTAAATTAAGAAATAGTAACACAACTTTATGAATCATAGGTCTTTATGATGTATTTTCGGGGTGAAGAATTATTGAAAAGTTGTTTTTTTCTTGTTCAAGCATACTAATTTTTAGAGAATTCTCAGATCTTTGGGGATTTAATCTCTTCTGGATCATTTATTTACTAGATCGACTACATAAATTCTTCAGCCAGCATTGCCTTAATATTCTCGAGCTATTTTTCCGTTTAGAAGTTTGTTTGCATTAAATAGTATTATGGAAATGGCTTAAAAATTTGAATACTTGAACATCCACTGCTTTAGCTTGAACAATTGAGTAATATCATTAGCATGTGGCCCTAGGATCGTTGTACTAGAATCCAATGGTTCAGAATTCAAACTTCGGTATTTATATCTTTGTTAGACCAATATTACTGTATAGTTTGGTCCCCACTTTATCAGTCAACTGGTATAAATATATTTGTAGAACGTTTAATAGCCTGCCAAAGGTAATACCTCTAGATAGCAAAACGAAAGTTTTGTTAATTACTAGCAATTGTATGATCAGGGTGACCGTTTATTGACTTAAATTGTAAATTCAGTTGTTTGGTTAGACAAGTCATCAAGAAAAAGATCACTTTTAATCATGATTAATTCACCTAACAGAAATGATTAGGAGTTTTAGCTCATGAGATTGGGTTTATGAAATAAGTAACTCACTACGTTTCATGAATTTTCACACATGAAATTAGATGATCTTACGATGAATACGAACATTAGTTAAGTATATCTTCCTTTTTAATGAAAGCAAATATTGTCCATATTTATTTAATCCATCATGTTTATTAATAATAATCATATTAACAGTAATTATCAAAATTTATTTTATAAATTTATAGTTGATTCCTGCTAAACCTGTGGATAACACTCCAATATCCAGAATGGCTTATTATCAAAAATTAGCAGTAGCTGGAGTTACACTATTTTTAGCATTTATAATGCTCCAGTTCTGTTTAATACTTGCTCAGTTAAAACGTGGGAATTACTTTAGAAGGAATGTAAGTCTTTTTGGGTATTAGATATTTTTTTTCTTTTATAATAGTTTCATAATATAAAATCTCTTATGTATCTTTTCTTAAACGGTTCATACTGTCAATGTTAATCTTAATCAGTACATAGCTATTAGAAAAACAACATGTGCTCTACTGATTAATGTGACAGTTAAAGGTGCAAGTTTAATTTATGGACAACATTTGAATGGCTTTGAGAAACTTCAGTTACTTTTTAAGGTCAAAATAGGGTTAAAAATTAGTAATCGGAGTTAGGAGTTAAAATTAAGAATTAAAATTAGAGTTTTCATAATAAAGTGATATAAATTTTAATGTCAAAATGCTAATTAGCTACATGGATGAATAAATTTCCTGTCAAAATTCAAGATTCATTATCCTAAATCTGATTGATTCGTCTATGATTTATGGTCTCATCCAACTGAAATTTATTTCGTTTCAGTGCAGAACATGAAGCTATTTCATTAAAGTCAATAACTGTAATGCTGATTTTCGATGACGTCTGCTTTTGAATGTTAATATTCCAAACAAATGAAATTGTTAAAGTGATGCTGATAGAAATCTAGCACTTGGAAAAAATTTACTGATAAAAATCAACTTGCATCACATAAAATGGATGAAGTGGCTAAATCAGTTCCTTCAAAGAACTGGATTTATAATCATGTTCCTCCTTAAAATGATAAGAAGCCTCATCAATTAAAAAAGTGAGAATGAGATGAGTATAAATGGAAATACTAGTCCTGTTTTCTCTTCAAAATGAAACACATTGTGATAAACAATTTTTTTCGTACCAAATAAATCTGCAATTGTGTTGTTTTATCAGTTAGGCCTAACTTTTGAACTTAATCAGTAACCAATGATATTTTAGCCAACCAATTTATTTGTACATTTTTCTACTTGATATATATATAACACATAACTCATAGAAAAACTAAAATCATGAATTCAATTATAGAATTACAAAAATCATCAGTGACTGGCTTCAAAAGTTCTTTCCTGTAGTTCTAGCGAAAAGCAGTGACCAGTGGAGTTCAACCGTAACTCACTAAAACAATGGTGGACGGTGGCGCAGTAGCCGGCTAAATGGTCTAGTGGTTAAGCGTTCGCACATGAGACTGATAGGTCCTGTGTTCGAATCCCGCGGAGGCGGGATCTTGGATGTGCACTACTGAGGAGTCCTATACTAGCATGAAACAGCCGTCTAGTGCTTCCAGGTTTTTCACAATGGTCTAACTTCAATTGACACATGAATTGAATTATAAAATAACTAAAAATCTTCACTAAAATCCCTTTTTGAAAATAAATATTTATTAAAAAAAAACAGAATGAAACCTAATCAAAATATAGATTTTATTATGTAAATGTTTTAATGGATAAAATAAAATGTTTACTTTTTTAAATTAAAAAAAAATGAGATTTTTGGCAATAGCTTATCAACTAGGTAACTATTGTTAATCAAAGAGTATTCAATATCTGTTTTCTATTAATTCATATCTTATTATTAACAAACACTTTATCATCTTATGCGAGATCAAATATATAACCCTTAAAGCAATAAATGGTTTAATATTTCATCTTATTTAATATTGTTATTTTACTTTATTGAAGTGATGTCAATGAAATCTGAATAACTATTCAAGATTTTTTAGTTCAATAATACTTACTTACTCTTGTTAGGCCGCCGACCAGCATTCTCAAATCTACTCTGTCCTGAGCCTTCCTTTCCAGTTCTGTCTAATTGCTGTTCATTTATCTCACGTCTATCTCCATTTCCCGGAGTAATATGTTTTTTTGGTTTTCCTCTTCTCCTCCTTCGGCCTTGAGGATTCCAAGTGACGGGTTGCCGTGTGATACATTTGGGTGCTTTCCTCCATGTGTGTCTTATCCACTTTCAGCAATTCTTCCTGATCCTCTCCTCCACTGGAATCTGGTTTGTTCTCTCCCGCAATAGGTTGTTGCTGATAATGTAGGGTCAACCAATCCAAAGTATTTTGCGTAGACAACTGTTAATAAACAATTGTATCTTCTGGATGATGGCTTTCGTAGTTCTGCGAGTTTCCGCCCCATACAGTAGAACTGTCTTGACATTTGTATTGAAAATTCTGACCTTGGTGTTGGATGACACTTGAATTCAACAATAGATCATCGTTAAAATCATTTTTAATTTGTATTAATCTTTTACTATTACTTATCGATATTTAATTACGTCTTGTTTCTGTCAGGATATTAAACTATAATCTGTTTTCGTATTTATTACCAATCTATGTTCCGTTCTAATAAAAATGAAAAGGTATTTATAAACATTTACACTAATTTACATATTTTTAAATAAACAAAAAACACTAATTTGTGAACAGTTTTTTCTTAAAACATATTCTATTTAATACGTATGTATATAGATTAGAAAACTTCTGGGTGCTTTAAATGTCCCTCTTGGTATGTTACTTATTACTGGATTGGAAAGAATATTCTTTAGAGGTTATAATTTACCTACTGTAAATATACCACCATCAAATCAAGTTAATGCATCGACATGGGTTAATCCACCGGACTTTGCACGTTTACAAGATTATAGTAAAGCTGCACCAACACTTATTCATGGAACTTCAATAGCTATTGGGGTGGCATTGGCTATTATTATATTTACAGAAGCAGCTTGAATGGGTAAGTATTGGAATGATTATTAAATATAATAATTTTTTATCAATCGTAGTAATGTGTCTTGTTGTACTGATTGATTGTTGAATTGTGAACAATATAGTGTTTTTTCTAATCTAAATTTGTGATCAAATTCTGATAGTTATTCTCACTGTGACCAGTAGTCTTATCAATTCATAAAATCTCGGGAGTTCCATAGGCACTGATGATTAAATAAACACTACATATTGATCCGTCTGCATAATCATCCAATGCTTATGGAAGGGGCTCATTAAAAGCTCAAATAACTCAACAGTAAGTTTGGGTGGGGTGGGCCAGAGCCCAATGAACAGATTCAGTTTCCTATGTGTTTTAAGCATTCCTTGGATATGAATGTCAACTAGTAGGAAACTTGGGTTAAGCAGAGCTTCTTTCAGATGAAATACAATTAACCAACAGTTTCTTGAATGATAATTAATAAACCTTTTCATTATGAAGTTGAGGAACACATAACATAAAATAAAATTACAGAAAATGAATTACAACATACAAGTTAACAGAAACAAAGGTTATGTGAAGTAAAACTACGAAGAACATTTTACTTGTTATTGAGGTTAGTATATATTTGTGAGCACTTAGTTACATGATTTCGTCATTATTACACTGAAGCATTTTAAATTAACACTTTGCATCAGTTCGTTGATAGATTTTCTGCAGCTAACATATATTTCTTATCACAATGCCTACTACAATGATATAAACACATCTAATACAGTGAATAAATGAAAAGAATGTTTTCTCTATATGAAGGAACGCACATACTTCAGTTAAATCTCTAAAACTCATCAGAATATAATAGGCATTTACTGTTAAAATATTCACAATACAAAACGTTCTATTCCATTGGTCGAAATCTAAAATTGCTAAGCATATTGAGAATGATTCCTACTTTCAATCAGTTAGGACACTGACAAAAAATCATGTAAACCTAGATCAGGTTAGCATAGCAAACATTCGATATCCGGATGGATATAAAGATAACTAGATGTTTAAAAACAACTAATCAATAGCATGGTCAACATACACAGAACCACTCTAAAATGCCTACTTATATTTCAAGTAAAGCTCTGAAAACGCAATATCACCAATGCTATTTACTTGAGCCACGTATTTTCTCTATCATCCACTTATCATAGCAGCAAAAGTTTTTTTTAAAAATCAAAATATATTCTTATTCCACTTTAATTATAAGCCATGACAAATGAAAATCAAATTGTGATTTAGTCTAATAGAGCATAATATACTAGGTAAGAATAGCTTAACTGTGGTCGCAAACATTATTCAGCTCACCATCCTTAGTATCTCATTTTCTATAAGAGTTTAAAAATTTCTTAATTCTGCCTCATTTCAAAATATTTGGGGTATAATTCTGTATACATATATATTGTACCTAGAGTGAAATAGATCTAACAATATACACATATTTTTATTTTATTTTCTGAATTAAATAAATTTCTCATCTTTGTCATGCTATGAATCAATAGTAGTTAAGGTTATTATTTACTTAGATTTTGATTCACGTGGTTTACTCATGTGAATAGTTAAAAAAAGTAGTAAGCTACAATTGACAGTGTATACTATTTTACATACAAGATACACAAGTATATAAAAAAAAAAGATATTTATGTCTGTTAAGTATCTTTTCTCCTTGTTGTTGTTGTCCTAATTCAATTTTCATTTTGATACACCTATGTTTCATGTAATTTCTTAAATAATTTATCATATCAATATCAGACTATCATTCTTACAGTCTTTATTTATTTGCTTACGTATAATTCACAAACTTACTGTTTGTTACAATTGATAAATGATAATTTTATAAAGAAAAATAAAATAAAGAGAAAATTTAAAATACAAAGATTATCAGTTAAATAATTTAAATTTAATAAGAATAAAACTAAAATTGAACTGAATCTTTTTCAAGAGTTCAATAAAGTATTTTAGAAGAATTATCAACAGTTCCTGATATGAATTACATAAGTTCTTTGTGAAACCATCAAATGAATGAGAACTAAATGATTTTGTGTATAAAGTTTTGTTGAATCGGTAGATCCTAATAAAACGCAACTGTTCTTCATTCCATAGGACCTGATCACAAACCAATTACTTTATATTTTCACATTAGCAAAACAAAAATGATTTTCCACTATTGTAAATATTAGATTATCATGATTGAATATATTATTTTATAGAGTTTATTAAAATTAAATGCTAATAAATGTAACGATCGAATACCAATATTTGGTTTGAACACAGAACTAACAAACCAAAATTTATTTGATTAGACCAGATTACGTTCCTTTGTATAGCATACGAAGCGTTTTTGAGTTACTCGTACTAAATCATGTCAAAACACAAACTCTGTGCTCAGCTTAAACAGTTCTAACTTAGGAAATAGAACAACTATATCAAAAATACAAAATACCTCAAACGGTACAGCCTGTGTTATACAGTCTAGAGTTTCCCTAACACAAATTAGCGTTCTAAACAACAAAAAAAAACAGTTAATACAAAAACTTTCAATACCTGAGAATCAATAAAAATATTTCCAACAGATTGGATCAGATATCTATCTTCAGGGATTCCAGCAACCATTCCAAGCAGACTGAACTGAGTTGCTCAAGTTCTAGTGAGAGGCCATGATTGATGAAATCAAGACAACGGTCATTCATTGATTGAACATATTTCCGTTTCTAGAATAACTGCTATCTTCCTACCAATATATATGTATATATAATGTGTTGAATTTTAGCACACCACTTTTAGGCCAACAAATAGTCTTTAAATAGCTTATATCTCCAAATTCAGTCAATAAGTGATGTAGTGAACAAGAACGAAAGCAGGGACAAGAGAGCAACTTAATAAAATTCAAGAAGCATACAGTAATACTTAATTTGCACAATATCAATCGATTGTTTGAAACTTGACTGTTCCTTTTTCATTATCAGTCAATCGCCTCAGACTTCATTGTTCTTTTGCTTCCACACCAATCATTCTTTGTTCTCGCTCTTTTTCCTTGATCTTCTTAACCTTCTGCCTACAGACATTCCACTTTCGTTTGATGATACATACTGCTTACATCTGTGGACATTAGTAGGACACATCATATATTACTCTGATAATTATCAAATGTTGACCGGAACACCTATCTCATATCCAATATGTTTGGGCTCCGCTTATCATGGCTTGTCACCTAAACTTCAAGAATTCGTATTTAAGCTAGTCACTCATTGACTTCACACAATTGAACGAAACTCTCTGATTTACTGATCGCATTTATTAGAAACTACACTGTAAAATGCCAATACCGATTCTTGAGTAGTACAATACTTATACCATTCTTTTTAACAATGTATTAAATGCATTTAAACTTATTTCTATTTCTGATAACAGTTGTTACTTCCTTACGTTTACACTAATTTCTTTTGCGGTGCTTGGAACATGAAGATTTTAACAAATAATCAACTATGATATTTGATTATGCACTGTATGAAAATGTGAGAAATCATTCAATCTAATGTTTGGTTTATTATCGTTCCAAATATCATAATGGTGGTTTGACTTTTTATTCAAATGACCAACAATTTACGAGGGAATGAAACAATAAACAGTGGTCTACTAATTTTTTCCCCATTAAGTAATCTGTGCAATTATACCTTATGACAATATTCTCTATTTCTTATATACTCCATTTTTAACTGTATGATCTTTTTTTTTATTTTTTCTATAAAAAAAAGTTTAACAGCAATGAAAAATAAAGCTGTAAAACCGAATATTTTTGTTATGGATTTGGTATTGTTACAAATTATTTTCCCTACGATCAGTGGAATAACTGGTTGGCCATTTATGTCTGGTACAACAGTTAGAACACTTAGCAATCTTGTTGCCCTAGTCAAAATGGATCAAAGTCCTGCACCTGGTATGCCTCACAAGTATGTGAAATATATAAAATGATATTGTTTATTAAATATATTTATGGTTGAATAAAAAATAAGTCAACAATGCCTTTATGATTTAGAAACTAATCCAATGTAAATCATTTTATGAACTGATTTATGGTAATTTGTTCAGTTTGAACATAGATTCTTACTTCCTATTAATATTAATTTGTGATAGTAACTTTTCTAGGAATGTTTTTGCCTCTTCTTGTAATGCTATTGATTGGCAGAGATTTGTAAGCCTTTCACCAAAGTTGAAGATTAATTTAAAGATAGTTCTTTAGAGAAAATCTATTGCATTGCATCCTTTTCTTAATATTTACTGAAATAGTTCTTATGTTCATGAAGAGTTATAATACGTAAAAGGAGTTTTATTTCACCTAAATTTTATTAAGATTGATGATAAACCTTTCCGTGATACATATCTAATTGTGTTACTTTGCTTCATGATGTTTAATATTTCCGTGTATTAATTATTCATCTCTGTGAAATAATGAAAGTGGACAGTTTTAGAAACTTCTATCCGTCTGAAACTAGATATCTTATTATTAATAGTATGGTCAAATTATTCAGTTATATCATTAAACTGATAATTTGAAAGAAAATACCAAAAAAAATGATGGCTTATAAAAAGTGTAAAGCATAACAGCATAGTCGTTAACAACTTGAATATTTCTTTCCCATTTAAAGTAAGTACAAGCGACTTTCGGCGTGAACACGTTGATGACTTTTGTGGAAAGAGTTTACCTATGCCTAATTAGGATTATTTTAGGAATTTTTTTCCTCACTTTAACCCATAGCTCTTTCTTTAATGCCCGATATTAACTAATTTTAATATACTATGAATTCCTAGTAAGTCACTATATTCTTATGAAACCATATGTTAACAGCGCATAATGAATACTCTTCTCTGTGGTATTGAGGAAAAATATTTTATCAAGTGTTAAATAATAGCCCTAGAAAAAGATATTATATATTCCTATAAATAAAGGATTTTATTTACCTCAAGGATTGCATAATGCATTGATATTCCTGTCTTAAACTTATAAACTTTTCACTGCTTATTGTATAAAAATATTTAAAATGTTCCCATTCCTTCCGCCCCTTCTCACTTTTGTGAGACGATATACTTGTTCGTTATTTCCAAGTTTCTGCTTGGATAAACCAAAAAAATATTTCCACTTTTCAATTAATGATATACTAGAGGACTATCTGTTTTCGAACGCTAACTCTAGTGGCTGAACATTAAGCCATATATATTTATCACTGAGAATTTTGCCGTCGTAATATTGAATTATCAGATATTCTTTCAGAGCAATAGTTCATTGTGCTGTATTAACAATTCATTCAGCTTGTCTCACCCTATTTATGAAACAATACCGTCATTATGTAATAGAATAATTGATAAATTTTATCAATGACCTATATAATGATGTTACTTTTTATGACTAATTTTTACGTATGATTCTATCATCTTGTAAAATTCAACTATAAACGTTGGAAAAAACGAGACATTTTTGTTCCACTGGTCATGTTGATTTTGTATTCCACACATCATGATGATAGCGTGTCGAAGTTTCGTTAAAACACATTATACTCCACAATAATAGTTACTTATAAGCTCTTAAATAAATATATTGTTGGTGAGTTGAATTTCTAATTGGACATTACTATATATAATCAAACAAACTCTAGGCATGAGTGATTAACAATAATCGTTATTTCGATACTTTGTTATTGACGTGAACATGTGATATATATCTCTATATGTTTGTTACTATTTAAAATCCTTATAATTATTGTAATTGCTTAAACGTATTACAAAATATGATCATTGTTCCTTAATGTCCCAAATAGATTACTTGACTTATTATGTAGTTCTGTACTGTTTGGGTTTTTAAAAGACATGATTTTCTTTTAAAAGGGAAATTCAATTAATCTGCTTGAATCCAAATTCATCTAAAATATATTCTGACTTCTATATTCGTTTATGAATTACCTTATAGCTCTTAAACATAAATACATTCATAACTAACCATAGAAATTCTTCTGTTGCTTTTCCAGACTACCTTGATTAACATATGAAACTGCAATGAACATTGGTGTGATATAATCTTAATAAAATGCAGTATTATTTACATTGTGGATAAATACAATATTCTATGAATGTTTTATATAATTATCTTTTATATTAGAAGACAAATATTCACTGTAAAGAGATTACATAAGTTACTGTAGAATTGTTCGTGGTCAAAGCACAGTTAATAATTTTTTTTGCGTTGATAGCTAGTGTTGTTTGAAGCGCGTAATACAAGCGATAACAGGAAGTTTAATAAAAATTTATTTTTCATTGTAGGATTGTGGGAACAGTAGAGCAACGAGTTAGCGGTGTATTTGTGGGAATCCTTGTTGCGCTTTCAATATTCCTTGGATCTATATTAAGCAACATTCCATTGGCTGCACTCTATGGAATGTTTTTATACATGGGCGTAATGGGACTGAGAGATTTAACATTTGTTTTAAGGATATGCTCCTTAATGAAACGTCGAAAACACTGGGAAGATTGGGAATGTGTTCGTGGGCTTCCTAGTAGGCATATACTAGTCTTCTCACTTATTCAAGCTGCAGTTGTCTTAATTCTAGTTTCGTTGAATATAATTTCTGATTTTACAGTAGCCAACTATGTTGTCTTATCTTTCCGATCATTATTCTCATCTATGGCCTTATTCGTGAATTTGCATTGCCTAAATGGGAATGGTTGGCGTTATATTTACATCAAGTATGCTCAGTTATTTTACTTTTGTTTGGTTTTATAAAGTATAACCGATGTATAAAATGTTTGTATTATCTATCTCTTATTTTTAATCAGTATATTATCGTCATTTGATCAGTTCGTCATTTAAGTCTATGTTCGTCCATTCCCTACATCTACAGCTCTGCTCTTCTTTAACTTGCTTAGAAGTTACTAGTGTTTGGTCAAATGGAGAACATTGGCATTTGACCAGAATGTACATTAATTGTTCTCAATAAACAAGGAAATAACATCTTTTGAATGAAATATTCGCGATTTATAAACAATAATTCACCCGAAATATTAAAGCATTTTATGACAGTTCAGTGAAGAGGATTTTCTTTTCGACAATATCACTTACGTAGGCTATACAACCGTACTTATGGTTAGTTTGCACAAGCATATACTAAAAGTTAACAAAAGTTAGTCAAAAATTCAGGTCTTAATTACAAGTTATGCAGTAGTAGAATCAGTTAACTGAAAATAAAGTATAAAAACAGAGAAGCGTGAAAGTTAATTTTACGCTTGATGAATATAAAGAAGAATTAAACACATGTCGAAAATTATGACAGGCTAGGATCGGCGTAAAATTGATAACTGGGCACAACAATTTGATTATAAAAACTAACCTTTATTGACTGAATACCCTAGTCTCTGGAATGTATACATTTCTAATCCAACTTATTTTAAAGCCAGAACATTTAACTCTGACGATAATTTTGGACGAAGATTCTGATCAATTTCACTCTTCAAACTCCATGGTACTTGACAGTAATAATACTTATTAAGTGATTATGGATTATGAAAGTATGCAATAAACAAAATATTTGATTACATAATAGTAAACTTGGAATGAGACATGATAATTATTACGCATACATTAATCACTAACTGAATCAGTTCACTGAAAAATTTTTCCAACAAAACATTATATAAATAAAAATAATACTAAATTAACCATCTAAATACTCTCCTTCATGATTACTTATTTTAAAATTTCTAACCAAGTTCTAATTAAAAATATTATCTTCCAGTTATTACATCCCTCCTCTAGAGATTTATTTATTTTTCATTATATTCATTTTCAATATTGATAAACAACTATATTAATCATCGTTAAAACGTACTTACTTACTCCTATGAAGGAGCATAGGTTGCTCACCAGCATTCTCCATCCAACCCTGTCCTGGGTAATCCTTTATAGCTCCTTCCAGTTGTTATTCATCCATTTATTTATTAAAATCTTTTAAAAATATATTTCTAGAATGTTGAACTTAAAACTTGGAATTTATCTCTATATCAAGATTCTCTAATCATTTTAATTGAATTGTTGTACGCCACAATTTTCTATTAACACCTTAGTCAGGATATAATTTAAGGATTTCTAATTGAGCAGGTCATTCAAACAAATAATTTGCTTATATTATCAAGTAATCTAATTTTAACTTGGTATTCATCATAGTTTGATCTCATTTAAAGAGCCACTGAAAACGAGAGAGTGCAGGTCAAATGTTTCGTTCAAGTATAAAATTCCTCATCAGAGCGTGGTTACTACCTCCGAACTCAGTGATCTGACGGTTAAGTGATTTCTATAGGACCTAAATGTTTTAGGTTTAACACCTAGTAACGTTTAGAGATAAACATCAACGAGTAGTCTCAAACCATAAAAGTAAAAGCTCTTCTTTTTCCAGTAGTATTCAAACTAAGATTATTCTGGTTTTAATACCATCTTCACGTTTACTGATATATTGTCAACAGTGATGAACTAATAAAATATCAAGTTGATCTCAGTTATACTTACTGGTAACATTAAATTTCAACAGCATAAATAATAATCAAGAGACCCAAGAATTCCATTTTATGAAGCTCATCGATTTTAAGAATACTCTAAAGTTTACGACCGAGATACTCGACTCCGAAGACGCATGTAAGTAAAGATGTCGTTTACTTCAAATAGGATTCATGCGCTTAAACAAGCATCCAAGTCTAGTATCCTAGACAAGTCAGTATTTTTTTATAAATTACCAAAATTTCTTCATTTCATTCTATGTATTTGGAAATACTATAGATTAAATACCCCTCAGTAATGATTATAATTTGATCAAACAATTGTGAAGACTTTTAATTTCGAAGACTTTTTACATCACGGATTAAGTTTATCAAGACAGCTGTCGAAAAAACAGTACGCACTGAACAGCTCCTTGTTCATATTTGAGACTTACTAGCAGATAGGTTCTAAGATGAGTATTTTTTGCAATGTGCGCGTAGCTTAAATCTTATATACGGAAAAGAAACAGGGTTTTATTTTAGTAGAAAATCTTTTCATATAGAGTCCTGACAATCGGAAATATACTTTGTATTTACGTCCACAAATTTATTGTTTTATTTGCCTCACACGTATCACGAATCCTGCTTCTGATTTATTGAATTTTCGAGCTTATTGTTACTCTAGAAAATTTCCAAGTTTATCCACTGCCTCAAGTTATGCTTTTTAACTTTTTTTAATTAGTGATGATGATACGGGTGAGAATTCAGCTATTGCTATCGTGGTAATTTTATGACATAGTCTGTGCCAGGATTACGGAATCCTTGGAATTTCTTATCATTCATATATGTATATATGACAGTGCGATGATAACATTATACGTACTTCATTTGTGTAAATTTTTGATTAAGTAGTTATTCTTGAAACATCATATACTTTAAAGAAATTGTGAACTTACTCTTTGAGAAAAAAGTAACTTTTTGTATATTGATTAAGACTAAAATATTAAAACGCTCCGTTTTGCCTAGAGAAAACTAAATCAATTAATAACTGCACTTAAAAAATGACTAACTTCAATAAAGAGTCTTGCAGATTCTGGTGAAAAGTCATGGCCTGCGGAGTTAATTATTTATGTTTTGGACTATCGGACAGTAACTTGATGGTTTACATCTAGTGTACTCCCTAAAACATTTGAAAACCCTACGGTTGATTTCATATGGAGTTACGGATATCCCTTACTCAGGAATCGCAATTTAAGTTGCTTAACTGTTGAGTGCCTGAAGAAAATAACTTAATTTCAGAGTTAGAAAAAATAGTACAACGCAATTTATAGTTTTCTCTAATGTCCTTTCACCCTTATTATTATTCTATCCTACGTAATAAAACTCCTCAATCGTTTATTTTCAATCCATCCATCTTGTTATTCATTTCAGTCAGTCAGGTTACGTAATCAGCTGCACATTGTTAATCTAGTAATCATCTTATTTTTCTTAGGATAATCTTTTGAAAATAAATCATCTCTTTATCTTCCTGTTATCTCAGTTTCACTTCTGTATTGGCCGATATTTCTCTTCGGTGTTCACCTCGATATTATTATCTAAACGTTTTTGTATTTAAATTGTAACCACTTAATGTTAATGAGGGTTTGTTTGTTTGCTCGTTTTTCTAACTGACACCTATTTGGTTATTTATATAAGTAAAGAATGAGAAACAATTGTACAATTATGCATTATTAAAGATTTGAAATTTCTCGTTGTTCAAATGGAGAACTCCAATTGAACAGTATTTGTTGCCTATTTACTCCCTGAGTGGATCATCTCCACACAGCATCTAGTTATAAGTTTGAGCGATTGTCGTTGAGTTCAAGTTATAACGTGAATCTCAACACTGTGGTGCAGGTACGTCCAGCTGACGAGCCCTAAATACCACATGCACAGCAAGGGTGGGAGGTTTGTGAAGATTGTTTAATTTGGTCACCCACTTTATTTAATAAAGTAGTGGAAGGTAAGAACCACTGGACAATTAATCCGCTCAATGGAGTTCAATAGTATCGAAAGAGCTTGACATCATTAATGACTTTTTATTTGTTGGCGTAATAGCGCTAATTGAGTTTGGAGACGAGAATCACTAGATACAAATTCAGTTTTTTAAAAGTGAACACTGATGAAGAGTTTCATATTACGACAATTCGATATACAATATATTCAAAATGGCTTTTATTAAATTCAAATACTGTAATCCTAATATCAAAAAGATGAAAACACTATGTTGTGGATTAGATCACTTATTATCATAATACTTTAACAACAGTATCAGCATTAAGACAAATGGAATGAATATTAACATACTATGCTATTTTCTAATAGCTATAACTCAATATAAACTTCAATAAATAATGATAAAGTTCATACTATTGAAGTCTGTTTTATTCTTATAAGATATTACTCTCCATATGTGCATATTACATAATTTTTACACAAAGTATGTAAATATGTTCATCATATAATAAAACCCACAGATTTATGGTGGAATAATATTTTTCTCCATAAAATGTCTCACCAAATTTCACAGCTAAGACTCCAAAGTAAATGGGTGAAGTAGTTTAGTCTAGTTTCTATAATAAATATAAACTTGAATTATGTAGTCCTAGGTATAAAGATTATCCTTATTATTATTATTATTATTATTATTATTATTATTATTATTATTAGTTACTCATTATTTGAATAAGAAAATACATTAACAAACATAACGAAATTACAAATTTGAATAAAGTGTACAAGCAAAGTAGGATATGAGATTGAATAATATCTGATGTTGTGTTATGAAATAAATTAAATCAAATAGTTGAATTCATAAGTCAATTGAAGCTAGAAGGCAATGAAAAGCCTTAAAGCACTAGAAGGCCGTTTCACCCTAGTATAGAAATCCTCAGAAGTGCTTATCCACGATCCCACCTTGCGAGACTCGAAACCAGGACCTACCAGTGTAGCGCGTGGACGCTTAACCTCCAGAAGATTGAGCCGGCATTCAACGATGTTAATGTCTAACTTCACCTAATCCATGAAATTGAACGACGCCACCACCACCATTGTCATCAGTGAGTTACTATCACACAACAGACCCAGTTGAACTCTACTGGTCACTGCTTCTCACTAGAACTCCAGCATATATCTCTTGAAGCCAATCACTATATGAATATGCATATTTAATTTTGAACTTGAATAACCATTAAGGTAGTAATAGAATAAACATTAGATTTTACATTTCATAGAATTCTACTTCTTATTTTCTACCATGCTTCACAAGATCGGTTTTTTTTTGTCTCACATCTGAAAAAAAAAAGAAAACATCATGTTTACATAATATTAATAGAATTTACGTAATCCATTTGAAAAAAAAAAGTTTACTACTTACTAGATAAAGTTTACAATAAAAAATAATTGGAAAATCAAATAATGAAAATAAACAATGTATATACTATCAGTTACTGTAATACTATCATGACTGACATAAACAGTTTTATGTTCTGTTTTCCTTTGACCATGGAAACATTGTAATGTGGTTGTAAAAAGATAATTCTTTCTTGTATATATTTGTGTATCATTCCAAATATATATATATATTATATTCAGAAAGGGTTTTGTGTAGATTTTTAGAAATTTCGCTAGTTGAAATCATGAGTCAGTTGAAGCTAGACCTCCATGGAAAACCTGGAAGCACTAGAAGGCCGTTTCGTCCTAGTATGAGACTCCTCAGTAGTGCTCATCTACGATCCCTCCTTGCGATACTCGAAACCAGGACCTATCAGTCTCGTGCGCGAGCCGGCATCTAACGGTGTTAATGTCTAACTTCACCCAATCCATGAAGTTGCGCCACCGTACATCATTGTCTTCAGTGAGTTGATATCTCACAACAGACCTGGCTGAACTCCACTGGTTAAGCGCTCGCACGCGAGACCGATAGGTTCTTGGTTCGAATCTCGCGGAGGGCGGGATCGTGGATGCACACTGCTGAGGAGTCCCACAATAGAACGAAACGGCCGTCTAGTGCTTCTAGGTTTTCCATGGTGGTCTAGCTTCAATTGACTCATGTTTTGAACTACTGATATATATCATTTATTTAATATACGAACTTATGATTGATGTAGAGAAGATTTGTTGCTCAGGTGGATGATTTTGATTTTTTTTAAAAAAATAAGTACTCTTTCCAAGGGGTTTAATTTAAACAAAGGCATATGTTTGAGTAGGATCACTTCATTCTTGTCGATTTAATTATTTTTGTTGAATATCATGGGATTTTACCTTGATTTTCCTTGGTAAATTTGCCTTTTCTCTAACTTTATCACTGGCCCTATAAAACGTGTAATTACGTATTGAAATGACTCTTAATTTGTATAAGATTTTTATTGCTATTATGATCAATAATAATAACAACGATAACTTTACATTTCCGGATTGTTGTTACACAACCATAGTACAATACATTATTGATTCTTTCTTAAGATTTACTAACCAAACATTATGTAAGAATGTAGTAAGAACTCAACTTGGAATTTATTATTTCATGTATATGTTACCACAATATACTAGTTACTGTAATACATTGCTAATGGATTTCTAATTGATATTCAAAATTTTGATTTTGTTAGCGCTGATTAGTTATGAAAAATCCTATATATGTAATCCAATTAATACTAACTCAAACAATTTCTGAATAATCGATGAATTCTATGAGTAAAATAAATTAGTTACTGCATAAAATACCCACATGATAAGTTTCTTTTTAATTTCAACTTTTAGCTTGTAAATAAAGCTTAAATTTATAATTTTCAGTCAATCAGGATAATAACCTAAGTAAAGGGAATACACCTATTAAGAGATTAAATAGGAAAGATTAGTTCAACGAAAAGTTCTGTTTTCGGTGAATTCATTTTCAAAGTATATATATATATATATATATATATATATATATATATATATATATATATATATATATTTGCAATTGTACAGCTTTGAAAATGAATTCACCGAAAAGAAAAATCCTCTCTGAACTAATCTTCCTTATTTAATCACCTAAATATTAACATTTATAATTGTAATAAGTATTTAACAGAACTAATGATTTGAATGGAGTTACTCAGTGTAATTATTATTCTAGTAGTATCTTTAAGTCAAGAAAATTGATTTATTTCTATGATTGTGGTCTAAATTGAATGGTTTATGTTTTGTGGTTATAAATAATTCTTATATCCGATTAACTAATCATTGATCAGGAATACGAAACCTAGTCATCAGAGTTTCTTTCCTGGTTATTTTCCAATCAACAAATAATTATTATTTTCAATATTTAAGATCATGAGTCAGTTAAAGCTAGATCACTATAGAGAACCTGGAAGCATTGGACGGCCGCTTCGTCCTATTGTGGGACTCCTCAGCAGTGCGCATTCACGACCTCGCCCCCTGCGAGACTCGAACCCAGGACCTACTGGTTTCGAGCGCGAGCACTTAACAACTAGACCACTAAGCAGGCCGGCATCCAACGATGTTAATGTCTAACTTCAACTAATCCACGAAATCGAGCGACACATCCAGCATTGTCTTCAGTGAGTTACTATCTCACAAGAGACCCAGCTGAACTCCACTGGTCACTACTAATTATTATTTAACTTAGGAATTTACTTTATTAATGCTATTTATATCACATATTTTATGTTGTATTTTTTAGCTTGATCGTAAGTACAAACTACATCCAAGTGTTATGCGTAAACCACCATCAACTGTACGTAATTTATCAACAATACGTAAAGAAAGTGTTGGTAGTTTTGCATCGGGTGGTTTAACTGTTACATCACAATTAAAAACTAATAATTTTATTGAATATATTCATGATCATGAAACAGCTTCATATAGTGATATCAGTGAACATGAAGATGGTGTAGTTCGTCGAACTTGGGCAACATAAATTCAATAGAGAAGTTTAAAAATCATAAAAATCAAGATCAAATATTACTTACATATTTTTCTACTGATTAATTCATTTATTCATATATATACACATATTACTTCAATTTTCTGTTAGTGTACAACAATTGTGCAATGTAACAAATAATAATAAAGAACCGATACTCTCCATACCTCTACACTGAACTACAAAATTTCTTATTCTTTTCACGTATATCTTCACTTAGTTTGTGTACTATCAAAATTTCGATTGATTTAACACATTTCTTTTTCTTCTTGTCTATCCATTCTCTAATTCTATTCATATACAATTTAACGTGTTGGTTAATTCATGTAGGTAACTCTACTCTACATATCCTTTGAGTAATATGATTCTATAAAGCGGTATTACGCCTATCCTACATGCCGTTGATATATATATATATAATCCCATTCCACTGTATCGCTTTTAGTTTTCACTCAGTTTTGTGTTAATTTTAATCTTCACAAATTTTTGATCCAAAAAATTATACGCAATAATTCACTAGGCTTTATTTTTTTGTTTTTGTTTAGAAAAATAAAAAAGAGAAAAATTTCATGATTAAATTATTTTACAAAATTTTTGTTTCCAGTCTTGTTGATCTCATTCACCTCAGTATTCTTTTTTTTTTCTTTTTTTTGATTTTATTTTTGTTGCTTTCTATCACTTAGTTGGCAGATTCAATCAGACCACTTCTATATATACATACACTAACACATAGAAAAATATCATTTCACACATACACAGGTAAGGGTAATAGTTTGTTTACATTTGAACCAAGAATATATATATATATATATATATATATATATTTAGTTTCTGTGTTTCTTTACGCTTTTTGTGAACTTATATATACATTATACTATGCATTGGAAATACTGTTGGAATATTAAAATAATACAACTATTTTGTAATATATATATATTTACATATAAAATTTCATTGATTTCAAGGCTTCTTTCATTGTTTAACAAACTAAATTGTAATAATATTGAGGGATATATATTATCGAACTCATGACTTTCAGATGTCACAGTGAATACAGTTTATTCGATTAGTTATTCATTTGAATATCAGCGTCTTATACCCTAAAATTCAGTCACTCAATATGAGCGTTTAACAGCTAGTTAGGTTCTGAATTGGTTTACTCCATAATACACGTATCAGAGTTTATCCTGAAGTCAGTGACTACTGAATATATGATTATTGTTTTATTTTAATATAGTTTACGTTGAGCTATTTAGTATAATGATGGTTTCTGTCAAGGATTGATAAGAAATTCTAAATTATGTACGATTTGTCTCGGTTTTTAATGACCGATGTACAATAACTTGTCAGTTACTTTTTTATAGTAACGAATTGTAAAAACATCATTTTTTAGTGCATTTATTTTGTGTTGACATGTAGCATTGTTAGCTTATAAATACAGTTTATTTGAACATATGGAGTAGTAATATTGGCCACACAAAATGTGCTCTTTCGAAAACCACCTCTGAATATTATCTTGACTAGCTCTCCAAAGGATTACAGAAATCATTCAGAAGTTCAATCTTTGAGAAAGTAGTCAATTTTGGCTAGTCCACTTCACTAGAGGTTTCCTCCAAAATCACACACATTAAGAAGAGCCGGTTCAAGAGGAATGAAAGTGAAAAACCTATGTACAGTAGAGGCTATTGCTTTCCACTATTTCTAGCTTCACCTTCCATGGTTTTAACGTGCCTTCCTATCTTCCATAATCCATGATTTTTATTTTCATTTTATTAATTATACTCTTTTCGAATTATTATCACAACTATTAGTAAGCAATTATCACAACTTATTTCGTTATTAACAGCTATCAAGTAAAGAATTATCTTGACCTCAGCACATTTCACTAGCCGATTATCCCTTAACTTCTTTTCAATATCTATTTCAAGATTTCTTTGAGTAATTAGCACCTTTCTATTTTACTATAGAACGCCAATTTAGCAACTAAAATTAATTATAAATATGATTATGCAACTTAATTAAATGAAATGATCGAAAAGAAAATGTTCTTTGCTAAACTTCTTTTTTTATTCTTCAATAACACAATGAATCTCTTTCATTATAAATAAATACCATTGAAATCTTTTTCATTTGTAAATCAGTAAAATGGAAGTAATTTCAATGGTTGAGATCATGAGTTATTTGAAGTTTTATTTTATTTATTTATTTTAACACGTAGATATTGGTACAAGGAGGCACCAAATACATATGCGCCTTACAAATTTCATTCGATATGTGTGAGGCCTGTGATACTGCTCGAGTGCCCAAACCGAAGTAGGTGGTTTTCTTAGGGGGGCCACACCCGGAGCCTTCGGCCTGAAGGTCTGATTCACAAGGCAGTGGAGCAACGTAAGGAGATGCAGTCTCATGGCCGCCGGTGACCAACAATTGGTTCACACACCATTTGTTCCCGCAGGATCCTGGGGCCCATGTGCATCATTGGTTTGGAATTCGGTTAAAGCGCCGAACATTCGCTTTTCGTCCTCTCATTTTCGTAAGCAACACCCTCGCCACGAGAGGGCGATGAGTAGGACTTCCCTGGCAGAGGCTATATACGCGTGGCCATGAGAGAGTATTCCGGGGGGGAGAGCAGACTCTCCCTACTCTCGGCAGTACTAAGGACACTGTGGAAAACCTGGAAGCACTGGACAGCCTTTTCATCTTACTATGGAACTTCTCAGCAGTGCTCATCCACGATACCCCCCCCCGCAAGCGCTTAACCAATGGGCCACTGAGCCGACATTAAACAGTTATGGGTTCGAATCTCGCGAGGGAGGCGGGATCGTGGATGCGCACTGTTGAGGAGTCTCACAATAGGACGAAACGGACGACCAGCGCTTATACGTTCTCCATGGCGGTCTAACTTTAATTGACTTGTGAATTCAATCATTGAAATTACTATTATAATATCTACAAAAAAAAACCTTCTGATATAAAAATTGAAGTATCTAAATAATCAATGATCTACAAATTTAGAAAACTCTAATAAATTATTACATTATACTAACAAACACATTGAACATTTTGACTGATTTATTATCATATTCAATATTATACTATTTACCAAATACCATGAATATGTTATGGCAAATAATAATAATAATAGAACGGAATTAAGTAATTATTATACAAGAAATAATATAACGTTAATAGCCGAATTTTATTGAATGAAATAATTCAACTAATTTACATATGACAACGAACTTCCCTTAAAATGATTCAATTTACTTTTGTGAGTGAAGTAAATAGAATAATTGAACATTGATGAAATAAAGATAAAATTGACATAATTTCCTTCATGTTTAATTCTATTCTTTAATTATGATGTACGAAATCTAATTGAGTTTATATATATATATATATATATATATATATATATATATATATATATATATATATATATTTCATGTAATGAAGAAAATCGATATGAAAAGACTATAATTTATGGACGAACCAATCAGATTTAAGATAACAGGATCTCCGCGCGCGAAACCGGTAAGTCCTGGGTTCTGATCCCTTGTTCAGGATCGTGGATGCGTACTGCTGAAGAGTTCCATGCTGGGACGAAACGGCCGTTCAGTGCTTTCAGGTTTTCATGGTGGTCTAGCTTTAATTGGTTCATGAGTTCAACTATTAAAATTACAATAATGTCCACGAAATTCCCTTTCTGATAATTAGATTTTTGTCATATTTTATTCTTATATACAGTAATATACTTATTTGCATTTGTGTAATATTTTAAACCAATTGGGGATATTAATGAGCGGTTATATAACCAATCATAAATGAGACATTACATGATGATGAACGTAGTAGTAGTAGTTATCAAAAGAATAAACATGACAACGAGGACAATATTTGGGTATGAGAAGTAGGTCGAAATTTGTGTAAATTAAATTTTTAATTGAAGTCATGAACCGATCAACGTTAGACCACCATCGATCCCTGTGATGAAGCTGCACTGCGTACTGATTTTATCCAAGGAGAAGATGCTCTATCGTGTGTTGGTTAACTTCTCCGGTAGTACGTCTTATATTACTTTTTCCTCGTAGAGCACTTCCGTTCGTGAATAAATGCACAACTTAATAGTCGAAGCGGGTAAATTAAACTTAGAGCGGAAGAAATGGCTTCATTTTTTCTTCAAACTAAGAAAACTAATCGTATTCAGGAAAAATTGGAAAAATGGGTACTTCGAAAACTTATCCATAGGTTACTGGATAATTACATTTAATTTTACGGGCTACCTTATATACAATGAATAATATCATTTCCAGATGACAGTTGGTATTAACAAGGTAATTTACAACTGATTATCACTGGGTAGTGACCACTAAAGTACATATGAAGTCCTTATCGCTAATTGAATTCAATCAACCAAGTTGAAATGTGGGTACTAGTCCAAGTGCATCGACATGGCATGTACAATGTTTAGATATAATGCGGTGGTTAAAGGCAGTTGAAAGCAAACCCTAATCCGAGATTTCATGCTATTTGCAACTAGTCAGAAAGATGTACCTGTAATCTGGAAGGAACTGATGCTCCCTGATGGATTCGATCCCATGTCATTCAGCTTCAAAGTCAGAGATATTTGCACTGAGCTTTCCGGGCTGAGACATCCAAAAAGTTCAATAGTACCATTCACTATGAAATCTAAATGCGTATATTCAGACATGGTTGTGTGTACGCTGAGTTTAAGCCATAAAGTTGGGATAATATCATACACATCATAACATAAATACTTACAAAAACAATTTTAAATGACTGACATTTTTCTAACTTACCTATGAGATTAAATCTACCCATAAAAATGAAACGTAAACAATTAAAAGATTAGTTATAAAAGAAAGATCATCAAATTCTGAGCTAATGTTTGACATTAATGACGAAATTAAGAACAGCCTAATATATATGAGTCAAAATTCTAGCGTAAAATATAAAATAATCCACAGTCCCTA